GGTTTCCCTGTTGGGATTTTGGGGTTTCCCGGCTGGGATTTTGGGGTTTCCCAGCTGGGATTTTGGGGTTTCCCGGTTGGGATTTTGGGGTTTCCCGGTTGGGATTTTGAGGTTTCCCGGTTGGGATTTTGGGGTTTCCCGGTTGGGATTTTGAAGTTTCCCGGCTGGGATTTTGGGATTTCCCGGTTGGGATTTTGAGGTTTCCCTGTTGGGATTTTGGGGTTTCCCGGTTGGGATTTTGGGGTTTCCCTGTTGGGATTTTGAGGCTTCACTGTTGGAATTTTGGGGTTTCCCGGTCGGGATTTTGGGGTTTCCCGGCTGGGATTTTTTCCCCCACAGGCCGTGGCTCGGTTTGGGATTTGCCGGGTGAGCCGGGGTTCCCTGCGGGAAGTTGAGCCCCAGGGTGTGGGGAGGGGTCCTGTCCTCCCCCCYGATCCCCCTTTGCTGCACAGAGTTATTTTTGTATCCCCTCAGGATCCCCGTGGGGCAGAGGGATTGTACAGTTTTGTGTAAAAAAAAAGGATTAAATGGATGATTTTGTAGCCCGTCTGAGCTGTGGGTGTGGCAGGGGCGGGTCCAAAAAAGCCCGGGGGGATGCTGAGCCCCCGAGAAGGGGACACTGCTGGCTGTGACACTTTAMTGGGGTGACAGATCACCCAAACTGCCCAATTTAGCCCCAAAAAACTGCAGGGCCAGGACCCCCCTGGGTGTGCCCACACCAGGGTGCACCCCCTGAACTCACCCGTTTGCACTGGCTGGTGACACATCCGTGAAAACGTGACGTCAGCAGTGACATCACAGCCGCACGCAGCGCAGGAGCTGTGAACGCGCATGCGCTTGGCTTTTTCCGTTGATTTTCCACACGGAAAAAAGATGACGTCACAATTGTGTCACCGGACTGATCACCAGGCATGACACAAGACATGGGAATGACGTCACAATTGTGTCAGCAGACTGATCACCAGGCGCTACACAAGACACGGGAGTGACGTCACAATTGTGTCACTGGACCGATCACCACACACTGCACAAAACACGGGGGTGACGTCACAGAGACACCCCAGATACAGAAGTCACGGGAGTGACGTCACAGCGATACCCCAGGTGTGACGTCACAATCGCGTCACTGGGGCAACCACCACGCACTACACAAAACACGGGAATGACGTCACAATTGCGTCACTGGACCCATCACCATGCCTAACACAAGACATGGGAGTGACGTCACAGAACACCCCTCATGCTTCTCCACCACTCCATTTGTGTGCGACTTCTGATTTTTCACACATGTAAGAGAAAATGACGTCGTTTTTCAGGCAAGATCTGTTTTTTTTCATTCTCAAAAAAAAGTGACGTCATGGTGACGTCAGGACCCCCCGGCGGTCAGATGGGACTGTGCAATGTCGTAACGAAAGGGCGCACACKTCACGCAGCCGCGTGCCACTCCCATTCATCATTTCCATGAACCGGAAGGATCGCGGGACAATTTCCCGCGCCGGGACCCATGGCCGTGTCACTGCTCTCTAAGTCACGGCGACATCACTGTCCCTATTTGGCTCTGTCACTCCCGTTCCATCCCTTCCGTGCCACCGGCCACCGCTCTCCCGTCCCGGCTCCCGCTCTCTGCCCCGTCCGGCCGCTCTTCCCCTCACGRMSGTSRTTAATTAGCTATGGTAATTTATTCACACAACGCCACGCCTCCTTCGCCATCGGCTTTACGGCAAACGGGTGCTTTGCGACAGTTCGCGCGCGTGGGGCGGCTGCGGTGAGGGGAGCGGGGTTGCTCGGGTGTCTCTGAGGGGTCTCGGGTGTCTCTGAGGGGTCCCGGGAGTCTCTGAGGGGTCCCGGGGCTCTCTGAGGGGTCCCGGGGTTCTCTGAGGGGTCCCCGGGTGTTTTCTGAGGGGTCCCGGGGGTCTCTGAGGGGTCCCGGGGGTCTCTGAGGTGTCCCGGGGGTCTCTGGGGGGTCCCGGGGGTTTTCTGAGGGGTCCCGGGGGTCTCTGAGGGATCTCGAGGGTGCCCGGCGGTCTCTGAGGTGTCCCGGGAGTCTCTGAGGGATCTCGGGGGTTTCTGAGGTGTCCCGGGGGTCTCTGGGGGGTCCCGGGGTTCTCTGAGGTGTCCCGGGGGTCTCTGAGGGGTCTCGGGGGTCTCTGAACGGTCCCGGGGGTCTCTGAGGTGTCCCGGGGGTCTCTGAGGTGTCCCCGCTCCCCGCGGGGCGCTGCCGCCACCAGCGATGTGTCTTTAGCGGGATTTTCAGCGGGGATCTCCCCTCGCGGCTCCTATCAAGCCATGGATATCAGCCCTCAGCGCGATCCCGGGCAGCCGCAGCCGCCGCCCGCCGCCCCCTCGGCCGAGCAGGTGCTGCTGCAGGCGCGGCTGGCGCTGTCCGAGCGGCCGGCAGCGCTCCGGGACCTGTGTGCTCTGCTGGAAGCGGCGGATCCGCGCTGGCTCCTGGGCTCGGCCAGCCCCGCGGCGCTGGGCGAGCTGGCGGCGGCTCTGGGCGGCTTGGCGGCCCCTCCACGCCGGGAGCAGGATGGAGCCGAGCTCCCCGGAACGGACACCGCGCTGGCCGCCGTGGCGGAGCGGGCACAGCACGTTGGCACCGCGTTCCTGATCCTCTTCAAGAAGATGGAAGCTGCTGAAAGTCGGGAATCGCTGGGCACGGCCGCGGTGCTGCGCAGGGTGCTGGGACACGTGTACATCTTCGCTGTCACACACAAGGACGAGCGGCCATGGAGCACGGCGAGGACTCGGGAATTGGCTCAGGAGSTGCTGGAGAGGCTGGTCCAGGCTGCGGGCTGCGGCTCCGTGGAGGAATTCCTGCGGGGAAAGGAGGGGGATGAGGAAGGAAGGTTTGGAGCGGTGATGGGGCTCCTGAAGCAGGAGTTAACCAAGTGAGTGGGAAGGGGAGCGGGGTGTGGTTGGAGGGTCTCTGAGTAGGAAATATTTTGGGAAACGGAGTTGTTCATGGGATGATGAATGCGGGGCTGGGAGCTTTACAAATGCCCAGCAGTGGGAAGTTTTGGGGTGACTGTCAGAGTTTGCTGCCACCAGGAAATGAGGATTCTGAGTCCCAGTGTTCCCTGAGCTGTGTTTGTGTCTCCAGAGACACCTGGAAGTGTAACCCRGCCTCCAAACACGTGTTCTCCTGGACTCTGCTGCGCGTCAGCCGGCCCTGGCTGTGCCCTCACCTGGAGCGGGTGCTGCCGCCCGCGCTGCTCCTCTCCGACGATTTCCAGGAGGAGAACAAAGTGCTGGGCGTGCGCTGCCTGCACCACATCGTGCTCAACGTGGTGAGCGAGGGCAGGGCTTGGCTGCTGKGTGAAGGGTCAGTCACAGAATGTCCGGCTGGGAAGGGACCCCCAAGGATCAGAGTGCAGCCCCTGGCCTTGCACAGACACCCCAAAATATCCCCCTGTGCATCCCTGGCAGCGCTGTCCAAATGCTCCTGGAGCTGTGGGAGCCTTGGGGTTGGGACCATTCCCTGGGGAGCCTGGGCAGTGCCAGCACCCTCTGGGGACAGAAGAACCTTTCCCTGAGCCCCAGCCTGACCCTGCCCTGGCCCAGCTCCAGCTGAGGTGGGTGGCTCAAACCCCTGTTAGGATTTTTGACTTACTTTCCTGGTGCATGGCAGGGTTTAACTGCATTTACAGCAGCTCCTGGCACTCGGGGTGTCACTGGTTTGGGAGGGAGGTGCTTTCCTTGGGTTTCAGCTCAGTGTGCTCCCAGCAGTGACGTTCTGCTCTCTGTTGCTGCAGCCAGCTGCGGATCTGTGCCAGTTCAACAGGGCCCAGGTGGTGTTCCACGCCCTCTACAACCACCTCCACTCACGGGAGGCTGCTGTCATCCAGGTAGGACGGCTGGACCTGGTGTAAAATGCTCTGGGGTCCTGTCAGCCCCACAGATCTGGCAGCACGAAGGGCTGAGGCTGTTCCTGGCAGGGTTCAGTCAGGCCATCCCCATCCCCAGCTCTGCCTGGAGGGGGAACAGGAGATTCCAGGGAMATTCCAGAGCAGAGGGGAGACCTGTGGCCTCCCAGACAGGCTGGGAGTGCTCAGCTCTGTTGGGCGAGCAGCAGCAGCTGTGAGCAGTGCCAGGGATGGGATTTCCTGTGTTTTGGACACAACTCGAGCATCTGTCCCCAAACCAGGCAGCGCTGCTGTGCCTGCTGGACCTGCTGCCCGTCCTGCAGCGATGCCAGCGGCACCAGGGCCACGGCAGAGCCACGGGCCCCTGGGACCAGGTGCTGCAGCTGCTGCTGACCCACATGGAGGGCGAGCATCAGCTGGCACTGCGCAGGGTCTACGCGGGGATCCTGCCCGCCTTCGTCAGCAGGTGAGGGACAGGGGCACCTGGGGACACTGCACAGCTTTGTCAGCAGGTGAGAGAGGGGACAGGGGCACCCGGGGACCCTGCCCACCTTTGTCATCAGGTGAGAGAGGGGACAGGGGCACCTGGGGACCCTGCCTGCCTTCCTGAGCAGATGAGAGCAGTGGCCCCACGGGCAAGGCCCTGGCCTTGGCATCCATACCCTCCCTCCTCAGGGTGTGTTTGTCCCTCCAGCCTTGGCATCCTCATAGTGAGGCACCTGAAGAGGCTGCAGAGAGTCATCCTGGGCTACCTGGAAGTGTCTGATGGCCCCAAGGAAGAGGCCAGGCTGGCAATCCTGGAGACGCTGCAGTGCACCATAGAGCACGCCTGGCCCAGGTACCTCTCTGGGGGGAGGACACACACAAAAGCTGTTCTGAAATGAGTATTTCATTCCTATCCTGAATGTTTTCACTTTAAGTCCCAAAGTTACTGTTTTTTGAAGAAAAGAGCCTGAAATCCTAAGGGAGAATTTGGCCCAGGGAGCCATCACTGCCAGTACTGCTTGGCTGAAAAACCTGGGCCCAGAATTAAGCTGGGTCCTCACTCTGATCCAGCTTGTGCTTATCCCAGAAGCAGCAGTGGTTATAAATTAAATCAGTGTGGAGCAAGCCCTGTGCTGTGGATTGGGCTGTCACCCACAGCATTCCTGACACTCCATCCCAAGATTCCCACGTGCCCAGGGCTGTCACCCACAGCATTCCTGACACCCCATCCCAAGGTTCCCACGTGCCCAGGGCTGTCCCCTGTCCTGTGCCACCCTGTCCTGTGCCACCTGGCAGCAATGCCACCCCCCAGCAGCCCTGCAGAGCCCTCAGGGAAGGCTTTAGGATGTTTCTTCCCTTGCAGGATGCCCTGCAGGCTCCCCGTGCTCCTCAAGGCCCTGCTGAGGCTGCTGTGGGACGTTCACACGGAGCGGGGTCCCACACCAGAGCCCGTCAGAGCTGCTCTGCTGGACAGGGCCACCCAGTGCCTCATCCTGCTGGACCGCTGCTCCCAGGGCCACGTCAAGGTGAGCCCAAGGACCCTCTTCATTCTCACCCCTGCAGGGTTTTCAATTTCCCCTACCCAGCATCAATAATCGATGGATAAGTGATAACTATTGATGGGATCAATGTGTGCTTTGCTCCAGCACAGAGCTGGGGAGGGTGGGCAGCAGCAGAGCCTGAGTGCCCACCCTGGCAATGCTGCTTTTCTCATTGCAGGTGCTGCTGGAAGGGGTGCACAGCAGCTGTGAGGAGAACCGGGTGAGGGAATGCCTCAGGAAGGTGCAGGAGAGCACCTGAGGTGCTGCCACCGCTCCCTTTTGTACATTAAAATCGTTATATTTATTCAAAGTTCTGTTGTTCTTGTCCCACCTGTGAGCCCAACACCTCCCCCAGACACTCCCTGGGTCCTGTGGGGCTTCTCCAGCCTTGCAGGGAGCAGCAAAACCCAGGAGCACAGTCTCGGCTGAGCATTCTGTGGCTGCAGAGGAGCTGGGGGATCCTCCTTGAAGCTTCACAAACTCACTGCAACTGCCTGGACTCAGCACAGAAACTGCTGCTCGTGGAGAAAACGTGGAGAGTACAAAAGCAGGAGTTCCTGAGGCACTGCACAGAGGTGGGAGGTGGATGAGAGATCCTGGAGTCACATCCTGGTGACAGGCCTGGAGTTGTGCCAGTCAGTACAAAATGGGSTCAGGGAAGCTTCAGGCTGCTTTTGTTTTGGTGCTTGGCTCTGTTTCCTCTTCGTACTCGATTTCAATGTAGGGACGTTTCCTCCTGGCTGGGCCCTTCAGGGGGGTTTTCCCCTTGGATTTGAAGTGGGAGCCTTTCTTCTCTACTTCTACCTCCTCTTCCTGCTCCTCTTCACTGCTTGTCTCCAATTTATCCATGTCCTGAGGAAGAGTTGAGTAACAACGGTGATGTCAGAGCTTGTGTAACAAAACCTTTCCCCCATTCCATAATCCCTGGCTCCAGTTCCACTGCACCATTCCYGTCCACAACTCTGATTTTGCTGCCTCTTACCCATTCCAAGGCTGGGTAAGCTCAGCTTTAGTTTGTTCTGGTGCTTCACCTACCTCAAAGTCGCTGAGCTCGCTGTCCTCTGCTTCCACAAACTCCCTTTTATCCACATCCTGCAGGAAAYAGAGGCAGGGATTGAGCACAGCAGYGGCACAAGAGCCACCAAGGCCACCACAGAAGTTTTTTCTGAGCTCTTCCCATGCAGCAGGCAGGGGCAGGGCTGGTGGAGCCATGGCTGAAGGCTTTACCTCCTCATCATCTTCATCCTCCCTCTCTGCATCCGACTCRCTCTCGCTCTCTGCATCTTGCTGTTGGAGGGCCTTGTCAAAGGCGTGGATGGGGAAGTTGTAAATGTCTCCGTACTGAAAGGGAAATTGGGATTTTCCATGAGCCACAGGTGGGAGATGGATTTTGGGGAGGGGGGGCACTGACAGGCAATATCAGACTGAGGTGAACGTGTGGGATCAGCCCCTTTCCCAATCCTGACCCCACACTCCTGCACTGACAGCAGGGAGCCCTCATAGTTTGGGGTTCCCTGTGTTTTGGAGAGCTCTCATGGTTTGGGGTTCTCTGTGTTTTGGGAAATTCTCATGTTATGCAGTTCCCTGTGTTTTGGGGAGCCCTCATGGTTTGGGGTTCTCTGTGTTTTGGGAAATTCTCATGTTATGCAGTTCCCTGTGTTTTGGGGGACCCTCATGGTTTGGRGTTCTCATGTTTTCGGGAGCCCTTATGGTTTGGGGTTCCCTGTGTTTTGGGGAGCCCTCATGGTTTGGGGTTTCCTGTGTTTTGGGGAGCTTTCATGTTACAGAGTTCCCTGTGTTTTGGGGAGCCCTCATGGTTTGGGGTTCCCTGTGTTTCGGGAATCCCTCATGGTTTGGGTTCCCTGTGTTCTGGGAATTCCTCATGGTTTGGAGTTCCTGTGTTTTGGAGAGCTCTCATGGTTTGGGGTTCCCTGTGTTTTGGGGAGCCCCCATGGTATGAAGTTCTCTGTGTTTTGGGAATCCCTCATGGTACGAAGTTCTCTGTGTTTTGGGGAGCCCCCATGGTATGAAGTTCTCTGTGTTTTGGGAATCCCTCATGGTTTGGGATTCCCTGTATTTTGGGGAGCCCTCCCTGTGTTTTGGGAACCCCTCATGGTTTGGGTTCCCTGTGTTTTGGGAACCCCTCATGGTATGGATTTCCCTGTGTTTTGGGGTCCAGGCACCCCCCTCAGTGCCAGCACAGGGACAGAGAGCACTGCGAGCTCCGTGTGCCCCTCACCGTGTCCTGTTTCAGCCTCTCCAGCAGCTCCTTCTCGATGGCATTGTCCAGCTGGGCAGCGATCAGAGCTTTTTCCTACAAAACACAGAGCAGCAGAGTGAGGCTGGGGGCAGCAGGGACAGAGGGGACAGCAGCAGTGGCAGCAGGTGACACCAGGGACAGCCTCACCTCTCGCCTGTTCTCGCGCCTCTCGATTTTCCTGCGCAGCGGCACGAGCTTCCTCCTGCAGGGAGACACAGTGTCTGGGAACCTGCCGGCCTCTGGCAGCARCAGCCAGAGCTGCAGCATCCCAAACGTGCCTGGAAGCTGGGAAATGTCCTGGGAGCACGTCTGGAGCTGTTTGAGAGCGTCCTAAAGATGGGGAAGGGGCTGGAGGGGCCATGGGAGGAGCAGCTTCTGCTGAGGGGCAGCTCCATCTCTGCTGCCAGGGAATGGCTGGAGCTGTGCCAGGGGTTGGGATGGATTTTAGGRAAAGGTTCTTACCCCWACTGAGGGTGGTGGGTACAGAACAGGCTCTGCAGGGAATGATCACATTCCCAAAGCTCCAGGARCATTTGGGCAGCRCTCCCAGGGATGCACARGGTRRGRCTTTGGGGTGTCTGTGCAGGGCCAGGGCTTGGGATCAATGATCCCTGTGGGTCCCTCCCAGCTCAGGAGATTCCCTAAATCCATTTATCCACTCAGATCCCTGCAGCTCATCCACATCACACAGATCCACTTAAAATCCCTCAAAAAAACCCCGTGATCAGCTCCATATCCCCACTCAGCAGATGGGCAGTGGCTCCATCAGCCACCCCTGGTCACTCCCATGGTCACTCCCATGGTCACCCCATGGTCCCCCCGTGTCCCTTACTGTCTCTTGAGGGTCAGTTTGCGGATGCGGATCAGGTACTGGGTGATTTTGGTGAATCTCTGCTTGCACTTGTGGCGGATGAAGCGGGGCCARTAGATGAGGTTCTCATCGATCTCCTCCAGAGCCTTCTCGTAGTTTTTGCTCAGCAGCACCTGGAGGGACAGGGCAAGGTTTGGGTGACACCGAAGGGACCTTTTGAGGGGCTGTGTCCCTCAGAGTCACTGAATCATTAATGAAAAATCTCCAGGGTCATTAACTCKACCCTGTCCCTGTCCCTTTCCATGAGAAAATCCCTCCTGATGTCCACCCTGACCATCCCCAGGCACAGCCTGATGTCCTGTCACCATGGGGACACCACAATGACAATGCCTCACCACCCTTTCCATGAAAAAATCCCTCCTGACCGTCCCCAGGCACAGCCTGATGTCCTGTCACCCTGGGGACACCGCAATGCCAATGCCTGACCACCCTTTCCACGAGAAAATCCCTCCTGACCGTCCCCAGGCACAGCCTGATGTCCTGTCACCATGGGGACACCGCAGTGCCAATGCCTGACCACCCTTTCCATAAGAAAATCCCTCCTGACCATCCCCAGGCACAGCCTGATGTCCTCTCACCCTGGGGACACCCTCCCTCTCTCTGAGGTGACACCAGAGCCACTGTCCCCGCCCTGTCCCCAAGCTCACCCTCTCCCAGAGGCGCCGCGGAAACGCCGCCCGCTCGATCGTCTTCATGTACAGGTAACAGCGCCCTGGGGACAGCAACAAACGCCACTGATGTCACCCCCTGGGTGGGGACAGGGACTCCAGACCCCCCTGAGCACCCCCTTTCCATGGGGACACCGTCCCACCTTTCTCCTCGCGGATTGTSGCGTACTGGCTGTTGGCCAGCGGGCAGGACGAGCGGTTGCACAGCCCCGTCAGGTTGTACTCGTTCCGGCAGAAATTCTGCGTTTTGGTGCTGGAAAAGAGGGGATGGGGATTAATGAGGGACGGGCAGGAAAATGTCAGTGCTGTCCCAGCTCACCCCATCCTCTGTGAGTCCCTGGTTTGGCACAGGGGGGACATTGTGGGGTTTGAGGGGTGTCCCCAGTGTGTCCCTCCCGTTCCTTTCCCTGCTGGATCCCCCCCCAAACCCCCTGGGCTCAGCCCACCCCGACCCCCCAAAACTCACGTCATCTTGTAGGAGCAGAACTGCCTGTTCCCCAGCATGCTCCAGACAACCTGCGGGGACAAACAGCGGGTGACACACAGTGACACCCCTCACCCGTGTCCCCGTGTCACCCCCCGGCCCCTGCACCCCCCGGTGCGGCTCTAACGGGGGACATCCCACAAACATTGCGGTTTTCTCTGTGTTTCCCCAGCGGTGTTCCCCAAAAAGCGCAGACGCCAAATCCCCATTTACACCCCCGGCCCATCCGCGCCACCCCCGGGCTGGGGACAGGGGACCCTCGGCCACGTGGGACGGACACACCGCCGGGCCCCGCGGACACGGGCCCGAAACAACGGTGGGACTCACATCGTCCGAATGCATGGTGGCGGTGACGGCGGTGACAGCGGTGACAGGGACGGGGACAGCGGTGACAGGGACGGGGACAGCGGTGGCGGTGACAGCGCTGACTGACGGTGCTGGCGGGCCCGGCCGCGCGGTTCAGGGCGCCGCCATTACCGGAAAGGGCGGGGTGCGCGAAGTCTCGCGAGAGCGGCGGGCTGAGGGCAGGGAGAAGGGCGGGACTCACGCAGTCTCGCGAGAGCGGCGGGCTGAGGGCGGGGAGAAGGGCGGGACTCACGAAGTCTCGCGAGAGCAGGGGCTGAGGGCGGGAAGGAGGGCGGGAAGAAGGACGCGCTCCGCTGTCATGGCGGCGGTGCCTCCTCCCCTCAGAGCTCGGATTTAACAAACCCTGCTATAAACACACACTGAGGGGCCCTGAGCAGTGCTTTAGGGACGGGCGGGTTCATTCCGCACACTGGAGCCGTGGGAGAAACTGTGGTTTATCTGCCAAATACTTCCCTCAGAGCTGCCGAKACCCCCCGGCTGCAGCCCCTGAAATCCTCACATTAATTACAGTGATCTAAAACTGGCTTTGTTGACTGAGCCTAAATCTTATTCCCACCTCAGTTTATTAGAGTTCTTCAAACGAATAATTTAATGCATGTTGGGAAGRACACCCTGAGTAGCACAGAATACAGCAAACTACACCAAGACAGAAATGAACCATTTTTAGAGTCCTCAGAGGAGCAGTGACATTGCAGTGACATCTTTATTACCAGCTGATTCCATGGTTAAACCCCACAGCGAGGGAGTGGCTGCACTGAAGGGATGGAGCCTCCAAATCCTGGTGGTTGGAGAAAAATTTGGAAATTTTGTCCGTGCCCACAGGTCTGGGACAGGCTGTGCTGGCTGTGGATGCTCACACAGCTGTGTTCTGTGACCAAAATTATGGTTCCAAAGCAGGGTTTGCCTTCCTTTCCCTTCCTTTCCCTTCCTATTCCTCTTTTTCCACCTCCTGGTCCCGCTGGGCGTCCTTTGGGGTGTAGCTTTTGGATTGCATGGGGCACTCCTGGCTCAGGATGGCCTGAGGGTGAGGAACGGCAGAAATTGGTAAAAATAATGATTGATTTTTGCAGTTCACAGGAGCATCATCACTTTGGGGAAAAAAAAACAAGCAGATTTTTTCCCCCAGGGAATACAAGCTATGAATGCAAGGACAGACCTGCTAAATTTCCTGCTTTTTTTGTCTCTTTTGGGGAGCGGAATAGACCCCAACAGGCGGTCTATATTATTATATTAAAACGATTCTCAATTCCCCAAATTCCTGGGATATAAAACCCCAGGAAAACATCCCCCACTGACCATTTTCTCCTCAGCAGCCGGGGGGTTTCGCAGGACCCAGCAGAGCGGGGCGTAGACCACATTCAGCACCCCAACAATCACCATCAACCACGGGAAACCAAGAACTCGCACCATCACCCCGCCCGTGGAGGGACCTGCGAATTCCAGCGTTAAAAAAAGAACAGAAAACTCCACGAAGAAGGGTGAGGCACCCCCAGAACTTGATAAAATCCACGCTACCAATGGCAAAGCCCATGCACAGAGCCACATCAGCGATGGCGTAGACGCTGCCGTAGGAGGAGGAGTGGCGCAGATCCACCAGGTAACTCATGATGGGCATCATGGATGAGTCCACCATTCCTGTCCATGGAATGAGGGGCTGCTCAGTGCCTGCTGCCCCGTGGAGGTGCCCACAGCACCCTCAGCTTACCTATGGCAAAGCCCAGCCCAGCGTTGGGGCCGATCAGCCCGGAAATGTTGGTGGCCAGAGGGACCTGGGATAGGGGAGGGAGGAGATGTGAGGCCATGAGGGGTGTGGGAGGTGGGAAAGGGGCACAGAGGGCGTGGAATTGTGGAATGGTTTGGGTTGGAAGGGAGCTTAAATTTCATCCAGTGCCACCCCTGYCATGGCAGGGACACCTTGAAATGTCCCAGGGTGTTCTAACCTGGCCTTGGGCACTGCCAGGGATCGAGGGACAGCCACAGTTTCTACAAGAATTCCATCCCATCCCCTCCCCACCCTCACAAAAAGGAATTCCTTTCCAAAATCCCATCTATTCCTGCCCTTTGTCACTTTGAAGCCATTCCCTGTGTCCTGTCCCTACATCCCTTGTAAATCCTCTCTCCCTATCTTCCCTACAGGCTCCCTTCAGGTCCTGGAAGCCACAATTTGGTCACTCCGTAGCCTTTTCCAGGCTGAACAATCCCAAATCTCTCAGCCTTAAGATCCAGATTTGCAAAACCCATCCAGAGGGTTGGATGAGAGCATCTGCTGTGAAAAATCCCAGTGGATTCTGCTGCTACTCACACAGAGGAGGCTGATTCCCACCACAGCCATTCCAATCATGGAGCACAGCCATCTGCAGAGCACARGAGGTGTCAGCCTGGAGCAGAAAATGCTGAAATTTGAGCCAAAATCTTTAATATCCCGCTTACCTGCCCATCCTGTTAGCCAGGATCCCAAAGAGGTTGGTGCCAATGAGGTAGGATATGCTGGCAGGCAGGAATGCCATCCCTGGGAGAGAGAAGGGATTGAAAAGTGTCTCATGCCCGAGAAAATAAAGGGATTTGCACAATTTCTCATYCCCCAATTGCCTCCTTTGGAGAACCCCTGAGCCAGGCCAGGCACRTGAACACCCTCCTGTCACAATTTCTCCCTTTTCCACCTTCCTTTTCTCCCTCCTCCACCTCTGCCTGCTGCTTTTCCCTTCCTCAATAAAGAGGAATAACACAACAGCTTAAATAAAAAGCCAGGGGATCATTACATGGCTCACAATTAAATATTTGCTCTCCCTGCTGCTTTACCCGTTGTTTATTTTTCATATCCTCTCCTGCTGACAATAAATAAAAGTGATCAGCTCCATGTCCCTGGGACATCTTCCTTGTTGGAACACATTTTTTTGTGTTTTAATTTCCTCTCCTCTCCCTAACAGCTACAGATCGTGGTTAATCCTGGTTTAGCCAAGCTCCTCGGGGTTGTTTTTTCTACAATTACAGGAGAAGGAGACAAATAGAGGAGCCCTTGTGAGATGGGTGGGTTGGTGTTGAACTCTGAATCCAAATGGCTCTCAAATCTTAGGAAATATATTTGGGATTTTCTTCTGTTAAATCTCCCCAAAACTTCACCTGGGGCTCAGTGGTGACTGAGAGAGAAACTTAGGGAATGTATTTGGGATTTTCTTCTTTTAAATCTCCCCGAAACTTCTCCTGGGGCTCAGTGGTGACTGAGAAACTTAGGGAATGTATTTGGGATTTTCTTCTGTTAAATCTCCCCAGAACTTCTCCTGGGGCTCAGTGGTGACTGAGAAACTTAGGGAATTTATTTGGGATTTTCTTCTTTTAAATCTCCCCAGAACTTCTCCTGGGGCTCAGTGGTGACTGAGCCGGAAATTTAGGGAATTTTTTTGTCATTTTCTTCTGTTAAATCTCCCCAGAACTTCTCCTGGGGCTCGGTGGTGACTGAGAGAGAAACTTAGGGAATGTATTTGGGATTTTCTTCTGTTAAATCTCCCCGAAACTTCTCCTGGGGCTCAGTGGTGACTGAGCCGGAAATTTAGGGAATTTTTTGGGGATTTTCTTCTGTTAAATCTCCCCAGAACTTCTCCTGGTGCTCAGTGGTGACTGAGAGAGAAACTTAGGGAATGTATTTGGGATTTTCTTCTGTTAAATCTCCCCCAAACTTCTCCTGGGGCTCGGTGGTGACTGAGACAAAAACTTAGGGAATGTATTTGGGATTTTCTTCTGTTAAATGTCCCCCAAACTTCTCCTGGGGCTCAGTAGTGACTGAGAGAGAAACTTAGGGAATGTATTTGGGATTTTTTTTTCTGTTAAATCTCCCCAGAACTTTCCCTGAGCACCCCTGAGTGCTTTTTCCCTGGGTGCTGTCCCTTCTCCCCCCTGCGCTGAATCCCTGGGTGCCACTTTCCCCTCACCCTCCCTCTCTCCAGAGCAGCATCCGAGGCTTTTAGAGCTGTTTGTTGCTGCCTGCCCAGARGATAACTCGATCAGGAGCAATTGCAGCCCCCTGCTCCCAGCCTGCAATCCAATTTGGGCTCTAAGTGCAGCCTGGGGCTCSCCCCGGGTTATTCCTGTTCCAATTTGGTTTCTAAACCATTACTCGCTGTTTTTGTGGCGCTGTTATCTCCACATCCCATTTTGTGGGCAGCTGGCAATCAGCACAGCCCATCCTGCCCTGCCTGGGATGTTGGAAACGGCCTCATTTCACTCRGAGCTGCCTCTGCAGAGCCCATTTGGCCTCCCCAAATCCATCCCAGCACGAACCCATTACGAGCCCTGCAGAAAATGGGCTCTCAGAGCACCCCACRGCCTCCCTGCCCCGTTATTGCCACGCTGGGGGAGCCTAAATSTGTACAATTTTTTCAATAACAGAGCACAGCACATGCTGCAGCCACCACTGAGGACATTTCCAGCTGGAACTGGAGCCGTGCACAGCCTGGAATCGYTCGCTCCACGGGTCTGAGGGCAGATGTTTCCTTCTTTTTGTTGGAATGAGGTAAAAGATGATTCAATCCCTCCCGCAGTGCCCGAGCAGGGCCAATTCTCAAAGTGTTTCCAAGGAATGGCAGA